TCAACGGCGGATCGATGGCTGCGTCTCGCTTCTGATCATCGTCCAGCAACGTGATCGATTCAAGTTACGGCATCACATCCCGACCGATGAGAAGCATGAATCCATTGTTATTGCGCGGGCTGACGAACAGAGGATCAAGATCGAGAGCATAAAAGCTTACCATCTCGGAATAAACGTACGGGTCGGGTTCGGATCCAAATTCAAATAAAATCCGATTTGTTTCAAGCAAGGGTTTGTTTGGTTTGCTGCAAGTAGGGGTGTGCAATGGTTGGTTCGGTTCGGTTTTTACCAAAATTTGAACAACCGAACCGAACCGTCTATAATTCAAAACCGAACCGAACTGTTGCAAGTCGGTTCGGTGCGGTTCGGTTCAGTTTGTTCGGTTCTAACTTCATCAAATTTCTTATCAAACAACAAACTGTGTTAAAGAAAAAAAAGATATCAACAAAGTAGGATATTATGAAGCATTAAACACTGATATAATGATAATGTTTTCAACCCATAATGATTCAGAAAATTAGTTTAGGGTTTGAGTCTTTGACTCTTTGGGGACGGATCGGGTAGGGTTTAAGATCAGAATGGGTAGTATTGCACTATATTCGGTCGGTTCGGGTTAAAAAGTTTTCAAACCGACTCGAACCGCCCTATTCATAAAACCAATTTTTTCGGATCGGTTCGGGTCGGTTTGGTCGGTTTTGTCGGTTTGGACCGAACCATGCTCAGCCCTCGCTGCAAGTTACCACTATAAGCAGGTTTATGATTTGCAAAACAATGCTCATTGTTAAGGGTCTGTAGTAATTTTTCTGCAAGAATTATAATTGCAGTTCACGAAAATAATAACAAAGTCTTTGTTTCAATTATTCTTAGTCAGTTAACTGAATTATTTTTTTCGCGGTCGTGTTAGCAAGTATCTACTCGGTTAGTTAGTTAATCATTATCATATCCTTTCTAAGCTAGGTTTTTTATCGAATGAGATTGAACCAAGTCTCTAACTTTTGGAGATCATTTCGTATGTTAGGGGGGGGGGGGGAGGGTTTTGGAGATCATTTCGTATGTTAGGGGGGGGGGGTGAGAGTTTCTCATGCCAACCATGCTCAGACCCTTCTTATTATTTTGAATGTTTTTGACGCTATTAGTTTCTATCGAAATATTTTTGGATTTATTTAGCAGATATCGCGATGATGTCTGAAACTATTTTATGTTTGGTGTTTTTCTCAGAAAATATTTTTTTTATGATCATTGTCACTTTTGCCCATAAATTAAGTCAACCTTATCTTATACATAAATGTGTGAAAGAAGTTTATAAATAAGATGCCTTGTGAGTCCTAAATGTAAACAATTATTATTTAACATCATTTAAAGGAAAGTTCTGAAAGGGTTTAAATAACGAAGTAATGTAGGAAAGAGAAACATTAGACAAAAAATTCTATGAATAGAGAGAACAAACTGTTTTTATAATAATAGTTTAATCAACTTACCTGTCGGCTATCGAGTTACGGAAAAATCAGAGAGAAAACTGAAGTGCCACTTTGACAAGATGTTTAAATTGCATATTTTCCGGCCATTGATTCTATTAGAAGCATCATTGGTTTGTCAAATAATCTTATAAACTCGTGTTTTTAAAAAGTGTAAATATTTTACTTCAGTAAGCAACTACTACATCCTTGTTTGCATTAATATTATCGTATCAAATGCCAATCTCATGATAGATAATGGTTTAATACATTACATGTAATCGAGAAAAGATGTAAATTTGGTGGGTGTACGTATTGATTATTCATCGTTTTATCGTTTAGATTGAAATAACAAAATAAAGAATGATGGAGAGTAGAAGGGTAAAAAAGACAAGTATAGTTATTACGATAGAGTCTCTGGTTTCATGAACGAGGGCGAGCCAAGATGTCATATTGAGAATATGCATATTTCTACACATTAACGCTCTACATATGTATATAAACACGACACACGTAAGAGTAATTCTCCTTAGATCTTTATTTATGCATATTGACATGGAGCATCTAGATTTGCTCTAACCAATTCCTGACGATTAATTATGTTCGATTATTACACGCGTAATTTGACAGGATGTTATTATTATCATCAAGGGAGATTGTTATTTCTATGTAATTAAGATTTAATCACGATTATTTATAGGGACGGTACTAAGTGCGTCAAATCTATCTCATAAGTCGGACGAAAACTTAGCCAAATCGCAGTATCTGAGGAAGAGGGGTATGATTTACAGGAGCTGAGACCTAATGAATGGCTGGATTTGGATCCGACCCGTTTAAAAAACCAGTCCAGACTCATATACCACATGATTGGACCCTATTTATACCGTGGGTCCCATCTGTCAGTCAACAACAAACGACCCAAAAGCTAAAAATTATCTCCGGGTATTTTCATTAAAAAAAAGCCCAAGTCAGCCCCAAATTCCCCCTTCACACTCGAGTCGGCAAAAAGCCCCAAATTTCCCTACGGTAATCGGAACCCCCAAAAATTCAACAAATCTAAGATTTATTTCTCTAAGTAGAAGATTTCGAGATTCAAGTCCAAGCCTAAATCTCGCCCTAATTCGAGTCCACTTACCGATTTCTCGATCCTCGATCTGATCCTCGCTGCTTCGATCTCCGGGGGAAAAGTCCGCTTTGATCCTCGTCTCGTCGACGGTGAGCTACCATCTTTTGCCCTAATTCGAGCTTAATTCGAACTGAAACTGTGTCCTTTCAATTGAATTGGTTCGAATTTGAAGGATTTTGATCATTGTTAGGTGCTGCTGTTTCCTGTTGTTTTTGCAGATTCGATGGTGGCGGCTTTGAGCTGCTGCAGCTTCTCGCATTTCTCGTATACAGAACAGGGAGCTCGAGGTTTTTGAAGGAATAATGGCGGCAAGTAGCAAATTTGACTTGTCTTCGAGCAGCTCCGACGGGCCGCAACCTCACCCGAGCTCGCAGCGAATGGCCGCAACCCTCGAGAGGCCTGGAAGCTTCCGCGAGTCTTCGGAGAACCGAATTGCGTCCTCGATCCCCAGCAGCAGCGCTTTGAGGCCTGGTTCCGTGTCAGCTCAAGGGGATGCAGTAAGCTTGTTGCAGAGTGTTGTTTCTGATATGAGATCAGTGGTTGGTTTTGATCCGAAGTCTCCTCGGCCTGGTGAAGTGAGAAGATCGATAAGCTCGATCCTTGGCATTTCGCAAGATGATTCCTTGCCTGCTACATATAGTGCGAGGCCTCTGACTTCTTCCTCTGTGGAGGAGATTAGACGCTTGAGGTATAATATCCAAGAGGGTTTCGTCAAGGCCAGGTACATTTCAAGTAGAATTCTTCTTTCATTATTCAAATGCATTGTTTATCATTCCATTCTTGGGTAAATTTTATCGAAATTGCATTGGTTTATTACTAAATCCAGTTTAAGATACATGAACACTTAAACTTTCCTAAACGCTTGATTATATAGTGATCGAGCTAGAGCATTTGGTGAGGCTGCGTTGAAAATGGATAAATGCTACAACAATCTGTCTAGAAAGCGTTCTCGAACTGATATTTCATCTAGTGGGCGGTCTAATGCTGCAGTGCATGGAGGCAGTACCCTGAAGATGGGACCTCAAAGCCATTTCGCTGCAAGCAGTCTTGATGCTGGGGCTCAGAAATTGGAAGAGAGGGCGAAAACTGGCGCCCCAAACAGAAAAATTCGAACTTCTTTGTTGGATGTACGGGTTTGTATTCTGAAAGCTTCATTTATCTCCTTGTGATATATTAGAGAGTCTTGTGACAACCCACACATAAAATATATTGATATGATCTTATGTCACTAGTTCCATATGTATCAAATGCTTCTGTTGCCAATCACGAGTTCTTTCACATATTTATTTGATTTTTTATTTTATTATTATCCTATATTAGCGAGTTGGGTATAATCATTGTTTTTGAGGAAAAGTATGGGGCTTCAACTCAAAGGCATCAGTCATATTACCATACCAATAAAGGTTGTATATAGAATACAACTACACCCCAACTCCAATGGTGCAGCTAGGTTGTAATCATATGCTTAAGTACATGCAGGCTTTGCTGAGTTTTCTTTATATTTCCAAGCTTGGCACTCTAGAGGTCTTTCATTCGGCTTATAGTCATGCACCATTTGTTGTATATTAACTCATTGAGGTTTGCTAATTGCTACCGTTTGAAGAGTCTATATGATTTTTTTGCCGTGCAACTATCTTGTTATATTTAATGCAGATTGAGTTGCATGATAGTTGCCCTTCCTGTTGCTTCTTTATAACTCATGAAAAGTCTATTTATATACTCTTGACGTCTAGGATGATTGTGCTGCATGTTGTTGGCAGTTGGTTCTTTATTATTCTCTAGTGTTTATAATATGTATTTAATGAAATAGATGGATGCACGCCCTAATAGCACTGCTAGGCCATCATCTAGTGTTTATAATATGTATTTAATGAAATAGATGGATGCACGCCCTAATAGCACTGCTAGGCCATCAGGGTCTATGGATAGGGATAGAGATGTATTCAAACTTGCCAATGGTGGTGCAACACCGCCAGAAGAAAAGGGCAGATCATTGGCAGCTGCAGTAGATCCATGGGACAAAACAAAGATGAAGAAGAAACGGTCTGTCTTAAAATCAGATGCCTCTGGAAATACAGTATTGCCAAGGCCACATGATGGTGATCGAGAGTTGAAACGAGGAATGCAGCAAAAGCTTATAACTGAGGCTAGACCAAGATTGAATAATGCCCATGGCTTCAGGTGGGATAATTATCATGCTTTATATTTACTTTATTCTGATTCTTTTTTACTTCTCCTCCCCTGGATCCATTCCAAGTGATTATTGTTGTTGTTTTTACTAGTTGTTCATCTTTGGAAGTATAATCAATAGTTAGCAATGCATTCTTTGACTGGCTGCAACTTATGCCTTGTTTCATGTCATATGTTGTTATCTTTACAGACGAAAACTATCACTGTACATACTAAATATGTTCCTCATGCATTAGTTGCCATGACACAAATAGCATGGTTTTGTAATAATTTATGTTTAACCAGTTATAGGAAAGGCCAAAGGTTCACCAGTTTTTATCTGGTAGAAGTCTACCAATTATAGCCAGAGTTTCTCTATGGATATAGTATTATGCGTCTAGTAATGTTCATTGCAGAGAAGATCTGATGAATCTATCGTAAGCTTCTTTTTGTAGATTGTTCTGAAGCATAGTTTCTCAACATCTTATGCAAGGGTTAGAGATTAAAATACTGTTTTCACTTCTTTTGCCAATTACATTGCAAAATCTATCTCACCATTGTCAGTCACAAATCTATATTTGGTTTAGATCGGCAAAGATATCCATGAAAGCTGGACTAACTGTTAGTTTTGTACAGTGATATCTCCAGCGTTATAGAAAGAAGCTGCCATTATCCATCAACTACACATAATCGAGTCATTATTTAGAGATCCTGCTATAGAATTACTTGTTTCTTGTAGGCTTGTAGATGCTTATTGCTATCATCTTTTGCCATCTTGTATGTCTATCTAATACTTCTTTCATGAAACTTCAGGCCTAATGGTCGGGAAGAAAATTATGCTGCTAGTCCTACTTCAACAGTGAAGACAAATGCATCTGTTCGGGGACCACGATCGAGTTCAGGAACTCTCACAAAGACGGCATCTCCTAATGCGAACCGTGTACTGGCAAATTCTGATGACTGGGAACATCAGAACTCTATGAACAAGCTCAGTGTTAATCGCAAACGCTCAGCGTCTGCACGCTCAGCATCACCTCCTGTTGCAAACTGGGGTGGTCAGAGGCTTCAAAAGATGACACGTGTTGCAAGAAGATCAAATTTACCTCTTGTAGGTTCAAGCCGTGATGATTTTCCAGCATCAGATATCCCAGAAACAATGGCAGTCAATGATGAAGGGTTAGGATTCACAAGGCGTCCATCTGCTAATGCTTCTCAGTCCAAATCAAGAGGCGATCAGGCACTTTCCGGTTTATCAGAAAGTGAGGACTCTGGAATTTCAAAGGACAAGTGCAAGAAATCCAGGGAGGTGGAGGGAAAGACTGGTGCATCCAGTCAGAAGGTAGCAACTCTGTTACCACCTTCAAGAAAGAGCAAAGTGCTTGCTGAGGAAGATCAGGAAGATGGTGGTCGGAAGCATGGGAAGATCAGTCGAGGTACAACGCCTGCAAGGCCTGGCACTCCTATGTCGAATGAGAAGCTGGATGGTGTTGCCACTGCGAAACAAATGAGAAGTGCAAGGATTAACTCTGAGAAGATTGAAAGGTTATTTTTCTGGCTTCGAAAATATCTACTTGCTCTAAGATTCCATCAAAATTAATATCATGAAAACTGTGTGCCAGATTGTGACCTTAAGGATATTTACATTATCTTTTCCTGTTCCTCAGTAGACCAGGTCGCCCACTAACGAAGAAGGCATCTGAGCGCAAGGGGCATACTCGTCTAAGGCATTCAGCAACCAATTCACCATCAGAATTTGCTGGTAATTTCTGCATTATGGATTAGCGCCACACATGCACACATACCCCAAGAGAGATAAATGATGGTGAGACTCACCCATCCGATGGGACTCATCCCTTGTTTGGTACACGGGAATGAGCGAGAATGGACTGCCAATTCTCACTTATCATACTTTGGTACCAAACACGATGTGTTTTCGGAAGCTAGAAATATCCCACTTCTTATCAATTCCCACTTTATGTGAGAATGGGCAATCCCAAGGATATGTTATACCTCGTTTCGTATGCGAGGAGTGCGCGGCAATGGAATGCCCATTCCCACTTCTCACTCATGCGTGCAAAACCCACCATATTTTTGGAAGCTAAAAAGCTCAATTCTCACTTCTCAATCATTCCCACATTTATGGGAATGAGCATTCCCAATGAGATATTGGAGAACAAGGATTCCCACCTAAGTGGGAACCAAAAAAATAAAATAAATTCCAAATAGACCATGATTGCTTATTAATTGCCCAATACTTAAAATGAAAAGATTGTCATTCCCTCTTCATTCTCAATCACACTCACATGTGAGTATGGAGATTAGCTTTTGGTTCCAACATAATTTATTCCATTCCATTCCTTCATTCTATTCTCACTTGGTCCGATTCTGGTATAGCAAACGAGACATTAGGGAATGGCCTTCCCACTTAAGTGGGAATTAAAAAAAAAACGCAACTTTCAAATATGCTCATTCCCACTTCATTCTCTAATGGCACGCAATTGTGAGAATGGAGATGAGCATTCCGCTTCCATGTTAATTCCATTCCATTCCTTGTTTCGTTCCATTCTCACTTCAGTTGAGTCCCTTGTACCAAACAAGGCGTCACAATGAGCCGCCACATGTTCTGCGCTTTGTAGCTTATTTAGCAAACATAGCTACCACCTCATGCCTGCCATTTCCATACGTGTATATGCAGGCATATGGTACATATAGGTTTTGATGGTTAAGAGCTAGCAACTCATTTTGTTAAATGAGCTTATCAAGAGATTAATGGTGGTGATACCCAGCCATCTAATGTGACTAGCGGGGGGACCTCGCCTATGTCTGCTTTTGGTAGCTCATGTCACACAATGAACTGCCAGCTCATACCCATTATTTCCGTGCACATGCACACTCTTCACTTCACACTTTATACGTTCATACATACACATACATGATACATACATAACATCTCATCCTTTAGTTCTCCACACTTTTCCTTGCTTATTAGCTTTTATCACCGCGAAATTTCTTTCAGGAGAATCTGATGATGATCATGAGGAGCTTTTAGCTGCTGCAAATGCTGCCTTGAATACAGGTGCAGTACTTGATAACATATGATTCACATGTTATTGTTCTTTCATTGTTCTTTCACATTGTTATACTTCCTACTGAAGGAAAATTAAGATACATTTCTTTTCCTTGAACAGGACATGAAAGCTTAAATCCGTTATTGCAACAAAATGAGGAAATTTTTGGTTTCATATCTGCAGAAGACCAAGAATTTTTGAACCAACAGGTATAATGGAGACCCCCTTCTATTCTTGGTTGCTTATTTACTTTGTGACATCTCAAAGTTGGCCCTACTAACATGACAAAACTATGCCAACCAACTAGATCCGCCGTTTAGACGAGTCTTCTTTCAGTGTTGGTGGTTCTGGAAATCGTCAGAGCCTGAAGGTACCAACTTCCCACTTTTTGTGACAACATTTATTCTCTAATCTTGGTTTACTGTATACTCATGTGGTGTACTCATTTTTTTCTGTTATATTTCATGGTATAATATTTATAGAGAATATACAGTGGTTTTTTGATTGCAAAGTTCTTGTAGGTTTGCTTGATGTAAGTAGCTTACACAATCTTTTTAACAGCTAATATTTTTAGGTTAGTCTGCCAGTGGTGGAGGTTTTAGTTCTTAGCTATAATAATTGATTAACTGATTGGACTTCTCTTTCCTTGCAGGGTGACCTTGAATATGATTCAGTGCCATCAAGTCCAGCCCTTTCTGGTAAAGATAGCTATGGAGGAAGCCCAAATGGAACTATAGGCCTTAACGGGCATATGAGGGTCATTGAGCCTGCTAATCAGTTGAAGCATGATGAACCTTTCTTAGAGGATCTAGTGCTAGGAAATGGGTCTCAAATTGGAGTTTCAATTTGTCAAGCCCTTCTTTCAGCTATCATTGAGGAAGATGAAGTTGAAAGTTTTAGCCAACGAAGCAATAATGAAGAGGGCATATACGGAAATTCGTGTGGAGTTCATTTTGACATTGATGCAGAGTTGAAATCAAAAAGTTTGAACCTCCAATCTTTTGGGACCTTTCAATCTGCTGACAGAGCTGATCTTTATTCTTATAAGGCTAATGCTGGCTGGGGATACCATGATGAATTGAGACAGGATCTTGGGAGTAATGGTTTTGTAGATGAATTAGCGTCTAACTTGGCTGTGATTTCTAGTCCGACGTGCACTGAATTTCAGTATAACCAGATGAGTGTCAGCGATAGGATTTTGCTGGAGCTGAGTGAAATTGGAGTCTACCCAGAGCCTGTTGTAAGTAATACCTGGCAAAACTTCTTTTAAAGGAAGTTTTTTCCCCTTCCAGTAATAATCTATCCTGCTTGGTATAGTTGTTCTTCCAAGTTTCATGCTTAGTGCTTTAAGCTATAACCAGCCATACCACAGTAGTCTTACAACTTTACTACTTATAGACTTAGATTATTATAACATATGTAGCAAGATTTTATGCTACTGACTAGAATATTTCTTGCTCATTCACTTGAGTTATAAACTCATAGAGTGTTACGACACGTGGCAAGATTTTATGCTACGGATGTGGACGTGAATATTTCATGTTCATTCATTTACGGGCTATTTATGGAGTCAACACGAGCTTATTTTATTTGTTTAAAGTCTCTACAAAATAATGCCCATACTGTAATATCCGTATTTTGATATTACTGGCTCAGACTTCTTTTTTCTTTTTTTTCCCAATATTTTTTAATTTCACCCTCTTATATGCACAATTCAAAAGCTGGTTCAGCATCACCTTTTCTTACTGTATTTTTTGTTAGCCATCCTGCTCAGTTTCTTAGCAGCAATTTGTTTCCATACATTGCAAACTTAGTTCTAAACTTAAGTTTCCTTATTTGGTTCTGACATGAGCAGCAATTTGTTTCCATACATTGCAAACTTAGTTCTAAACTTAAGTTTCCTTATTTGGTTCTGACATGGGCTGTTATAGAGAATTTCTGTTCATTTACTTAGTTCTAAACTTAAGTTTCCTTATTTGGTTCTGACATGGGCTGTTATAGAGAATTTCTGTTCATTTAAACCCTCTCATTTAGTAACCTTTGTTCCTTCCCATTTTTATGTTTAACTACTCTGAGCACCTCCCATGTACTAGGCATGTATTAATTGTTATAATTTTTAACATGGCTAATGTTGCCGACCTTCTTTCCTTCAATATTCCTTGTACTTGATGACATTGTCATTGCAGCAAATAGTTTTTTGTAGCCCAAAGTTGCCTCTATTTTCCCACTAAATTTTTGACAAATTGGACCTTTTGAAGGTCTATTTACACGTTTATGTGCCTGCAGTTCCACTATTATATTGTCTTCTCAATGCTCGCAGACCGAATAAACTTTATATCAATTAACCTCACTGGGATTAGATGAAGACCTTTTACATGTCTGTTAAGATTAGTCTACTTCCTGCTATTTCTATTCTTTATCCTAAAGTGAATACCGATTGGTTATGTGAAACATACCAAAAAGTTGGTTATAAATTTGGATTTTGTTTGCTATTTTCAGCCTTACTTAGCGCAAAGTGAAGATGAAGATATTGATGAGGGAATCGATAGACTGACGGCAAAGCTTCATGAACAGGTATCTTTTCCATTTTCGTCCTTATAAAATCTCCCTCCCCAGTTCATTTTTTTTGTGCATAGCTGTTCTGATTAATTCAGCAGTATAGTGTATGGGCGTTGTCTGTTGAAACTTGATATGCATCCTTGCAATCTCATCATTTTTGTTATACTCAATTGGCATTGGGTATTAATGTATTCTCTGTTGTTACTCTCTTAGTTTTATTTGTGTGGATAATGATGGTTGTACTAGCATGATTCAGGTGCTAGTTGTTAAAGATAATTTTTTCACAGGAAAAGATTTCATTCTTTCAGTAAACTAGTATTTGTTGACAAACATATGGGTCATAGATTCAAATGACAGGAAAAGATTTCATTCTTTCAGTAAACTAGTATTTGTTGACAAACATATGGGTCATAGATTCAAATGAGAAGTATCTCAAGGGTTGGTAGGTAGCCATAGTATTTGTTGACAAACATATGGGTCATAGATTCAAATGAGAAGTATCTCAAGGGTTGGTAGGTAGCCAGTAAGGAAAACAATTCCAACGCAACTAAACTCCTATGAAAACATTAGTTTAACCTAGTTTTGACGGCAAATAGAGGAGAAGTCTTACTTGGCGCTCCTTTCAATAGGAGAACACAACTTAACTAGGCTTTTCCTCAAACATCTGTGTTGTTAGTATTTATATATATTTTTTCTGGTGCATAACATGTGATATGTTGCACACTTCTCTATCTATTGGAAATTGGACAAAACCATTATTACATATTTCTTGAGGAAGAATGAAAAATACTCTTTGCTTAAACATTCTTGAAGATCTCTTCACATTTGGTGGGTACTTGTATCACTCACTATTTGTGAAACTATCAATGAATGCATCAATGCATACATCAATACATACCTTTTCTAGTCGGACTCATCTGTGAAAGTTTCTCTGGTGTCAGCAATAAACAAAGGGTTTGTGCTTATGTAGGGCTGAAAAACATGTAATGTTGAAGCATATAACAATGGGGTTGCAGCATGTAGTTATTTAAATACAAGTCTCCTAAACTCACTGTACCTTCTGTCCTTGTTCTGAATACTTATCCTGTTGTAAATACTCATCTGTTATTAAAAAGGTTTCAAAAAAGAAAAAACTTCTGCTGGATTTAAAGAAGGCTGTTGTGGAGGAAAGATTGTCTCAACAGAGGTATCTATTCAATTCTCTCATTTTCCATTAGGATTTGCAATTATTTTCTTCATATTTTCCTTTTCTTTTTTAAACTTGGTCAGTATCTATTGTGAGTAAGTATTTTTTTTCCCTGGGCAATAGGAAACTCGAGAGGATTGCATTGGACAAGCTTGTAGGAATGGCTTATGAGAAATACATGGTAACCTCTGACTTCAATTAATGTTATTACCAAATTGCTCGCTAATGTTTTAAAATTTATGGCAGTGCATAATTTTGTCTTTTGACCCACGTACAATTTGAGAAGAATACAATATTTCGTCTACAACTGTAGTCATTCAGAACAGCTGTCTTGAACCCCTATCTTCACCTTATACTTCCTGCATGTTTGCTTGACCTTGTAGTCACATAATATTTATTTTCATGGAGTTTTGCTACTTACAGTTAGATACCATGACATAAATCCTTGTTCTGGAGGATATTTCATGTGTAGAGTTTCTATATTCATTTTCCATCTATATATACTAATTTGTTACAGGCTTGTTAGGTTCAAGCTCTTCTGATAGCAGTATATAGAGTCAATATTTTCATTGACCATCTGTATAAATTCATCGTGACAGGCTTGTTTGGGTCTTGGTGCGTCTGGTAGCAAGAATATGAACAGAGGTAATAAGCAAGCTATTCTTGCTTTTGTTAGACGGACGTTGGCACGATGTCGGAAATTTGAGGAAACCGGATCTAGCTGTTTCAGTGAACCTGCATTTAGGGATATGTTCTCTTCAGTATCATCTCGCAAAGATGTGCCTGCAAATGCAATCAACTGTCATCCGTTTGCCTCTGGTCAACACTCTATGCCTTCAGCAGGTAACAAATGCTGTATATTATTCATTGTAAATAATATGCATGTGATTTAATCTGCACATGGACAATGTTGCGTGTGACTGTAGCACAGTAGTTTTGGGGTTCGGTCTCAATTATGTTAGGCATTGACACTGCTTAGTAATTTTGTGTGAACCTTGTTCTTTTGTTAATTTGCATATTGAAATATCTAACCTTTCATTTACCAATTATGAAAAAAGATAATATATCCTATTTCAAATATTACCAAAAAACTCTCTCTTTAGTCCCTTGTTTGATAGAAGAGAAGTTTTCTAATAATCTCAGTGAGTGCCATGAATTATTAAGACAAAATTCCCGTTATTATTCTCAATCCCCTTTTACAAGCTATGCGGTTAAAATTCTGCCTCCTATTCTACCAACATAGAATGGAAGAGAGATTCTTGAGGATATGAAGTAGCGATTTACCACGGAGTAAGAGAAAGGAAATGTGATGTAGACCTTGGAGTATTGGGTTCAAATTAGAAGATGAGCTTGTTTCCTCTTCTGTTAATCTTGTTTGAGAGTAGGGTGGTGACTACCATATAGGATGAAAACTTTTCAGGGGAGAACAACATGCTTCAGAAGCAGATATGATGGTTGGAAAGCATTATAAAATGCAGTCTACATGATAATATCTCTTGGTTAAATTAGAAAGACAAGCTCAAGTTGTAATTGGCTTGAAATCGAAAGAACTGGAAAAATAAATATTATCAAATGAAAGGCCAAGCACAAACAGAAACGAATGTGCCTCTTCGTTCATACAAGGCTAGGGGTGTGTGGGGGTGGGGGTGGGGGTGGAAGATCTCTACAATTTTCAAAATGTAAGGGTATATAGGAAAATACCAACGTGTGAGGAGCTTTTTGTAGGTGGACTATCAGCACAAAAACCACTAGTTCACCAGTGCAAGCGCGCACATATGTGCAAAGATTCCCTCACTTTTCATGTCAATCTTAGATTATGGCTGCCATTTCTGGTTTTCTCAGTTTTTCGGTGTGTAATTTCAATTTGTTTTACTCTCTCCTGCAGATCCACATCACGGTCTAGCGTCACAGCCAGCACAAAGAGAAGATGTCCACAAGTCTTCTGATGCTTTCCGATCACTCAATCATTTAACGGAGCAAACATATGGTATGGAAGATCAGTGGTCCAATAAATTGAAGAAAAAGGAGTTGTTGCTTGATGAAGTTGTCGGCAGTGCTACTGGTATGCTAAGAGCCTCTTCTGGTCTTGGAGGTTCACTGGTAAGTGGTACAAAAGGAAAAAGGAGTGAGAGAGATAGAGATGGCAAAGTGCAGTCCAGAGATTCTGCATCCAGAAATGGCACTGCTAAAAATGTCAAGGGGGAAAGAAAGAAATCAAAGCCCAAGCAAAAGTTATCTGCTTCTGTCAATGGCCTTCTTGGAGTCGGTACAGAGACTCGTAATAAAGCATCGCCATCAGCTCCCAAGTCAAACGATCATGTCACTAGAAATGGAAATAAGGAGGATGATGCTGAGGCCATGGACTTGTCTAGTTTACATCTGCCTGAAATTGACGTAGCTGATTTTGGTGCTCAAGGACAGGATATTGGTTCATGGTTGAACATCGAAGACGATGGACTTCAAGACAATGATTTCATGGGCCTTCAGATACCAATGGACGACCTCTCAGAAGTTATGTTCTAAAATTGACCCCCTTTGTACATTACACAGTTTGAGAGTATTTACTGCCACAGTGTCAAAGATCTATCGGCAATGAGGTCTGTAAGTAAGCAGCCTGTAGATTCTTTTAGGGTTCTAAAGAGTTTGTTGGGAGCAAGCCTTTTTGATCTGTGTAACATGCTCCCCTTTGTACCATTTTGGCTACTTGGGTTGTATATATTATGCCTGTACAACACTTATATGCTAGCTGCATTAGCTTTGCAGGTGATGGATCCTGTAATTGTACATACATTTATATTTCAATAAAAGTAAGCTTTATCTACTGAAATATTTGCGGCTGAGAGCTCCTCAGAAGATTGTGAGGCTTGGCTTGGGCTGCTATGTTCGGCAGATTCATGCTTTGGAATTACCCCTTCTCATCTGAGTTTGATGGCCTCCCTGCTTTCAGAGTGTTGTGAGGGAAAATGATTCCTTAATTTTATCATTTAAATTAAAAGAGGCTCCTTTTCAGCCTTTTTTTTTTCGATGCCTGACTAGAATTTGTTTAAGTTCACATAAAAGTTCACCATACTTGCTCGTATCTGTGTTCTTTTTTGGACTGATGGGAGAGTTTTAGTGACAAAATTCTGCTAATTATGAAAAAAAAAATAAAAAAAATGAAGCCAACCGAAGTCGAAGCAGGACCACTCTTTTATTGCAAAAAAGAAACTATTAAAATAATAGAAAAAGGAAAGTAAAGAGATAGATTTGTGTAAAATCTCTCATATGAAATAATTTTTGCTCTCTGAATTAAGTTCATTTGTGCAAAGGGGAAAATAAAAAGAAAAAACAAAGAAAATAGAAAATCAGAGTTGAGCCCCCTGTACGAATCTCGGCAGCCACACGATATGAAAAAATGGGTGTTTTAGTAGTTAGATGAAACCCCCGGGGCAGTTCTGTAATGGAGCTAGACATTTATCTTTGGGTTTCTTCTCTCTTCGGAAGTAGTCCCTTACATATCTTGAACATTTTGAATCAGTCTATCAAATCATCAAAATTGCTATCAGATTCCCCAAGTTTTATATCTGCCACGCTACTCTTAGTTAGGAGGATAAATTTAGAACAGCTTATAAGAATTGGGGGTTCTAATTGCAATTTGAATACTTTAAGAGATTAATTCTGAAACAGTTGCAAATTAGGGGGGGGAAATAGTAATTTCAATGATTTGAGGGACTTTTAAGAATAAGCTATTTAAGATGAGCGGGACCAATATCGAAAAAAATCCATTTTATCTTTTCCGTTCTGGGTTTTGTTCGCAACGATTAGCCTCAGAAAAAGAATCCGGGCTCTGCTCCCAGTTTACCCATTTCCTCTTCTCTGCTTCATGGGCATCGAGTAATTACGGAATGGCCATCAGCATGAGCTCCCTTTGGGACTTCACTTCACCAGTAAGCTCCCCATTTTCATTGCTTGCAAATTCATACCTCTTATCCTGGTTTATCTGGTAATAAATTTGTGTTTTGTTGATTTAGATTTGATTTTAAAAGATACCCATGAGTTGTATGCTGCAATTAATCCTTATGTTGTGTTGTTGGGAACGCAATGATTATCTCTATATGATTTGGTTGCATATAGTTGGGAACCCATGAATTCGTTACAGGATTTGGGGAAGCCAGTTACAACCCTAGTTGCAAGTTTGCACTTTGTCATTTTTTTTAAAACTTTAACTGGAAATTTTATCACAACCCCAATTGCGAGTTTGTGCCATGTCATCTTCTTTACTCGCAACTTCACAGGAAATTTCAAATTGTTTTTTCTGGATTTTGAGAAAATTGCTATGACTTGAACTTTAGGACTTGAATTCTAGTAAAACAACAAGAATTGGAATCCTCTTAAAAGTATTTTTTAGGAGAATAGCGCCCTGTAGTATCACCCAACTCCGAATAGATCCCCTTTAGTTCTGTTTGTGTGGATATACCCATCGTAGTATTGACCCAAGTGCGAATACACCCTCTTGGTGAACTTTTTTGACTCTTTTACGGTTCAAAAAAGTTAGCAATTGGCGGTCTACCTCACCAATAGAACTATAAGGGGTCTATCCGACTCCTCAACAAAAAATTTCACTCAGGGGGTCCATCCGCACAAATAGACCATCCGCGTTGATAGAATTTACAGGGGGTCTATCGGCAATTGGGTGATACTACAGGTTGTCTATTCGCAGTTATGAAATAATTTTTTTCCGACCAATACTCTTTATTGCATGTAACCTAATGACATCTATTCAATCTGTAACTCCATGATTCTCAACTTCATGAGTTCTTGGCATGCAACTTCAAATGCTAGCAACCATATGGACTTAAGTCTCATCCTTTCTTTGATTCTGTCTTTGATCTTTATGCTAAAAGTTTTGGGTGGATAGTCTCGTCTATCAGTATATGTGTTTTGGTTTTAATGAACTTTGAACAAAATTCCATAACAAACAATTGTTACTAAAATTCTAACTTTTCAGGGCTACTTGAATAAAGAGACCTTCTATCCTAGCTTAGAGCGTATAAGTTTACGTTTGTTCCTAATCCGTTCAAACCAATAATCGAGGAATTCTGTATAATGTAGAGTTCACATGCTTTATCTAATCATCCAAGTTTCTTGGGGTGGTATGACAATCATTAAGCTATAGAGAGATCTGGTATAGCAGAAGTATCTGTAAACATTGCGGACCGGCTTTGACATTTTGCTAGAATACACAACTAGATGATGCTTCTTGCTGCAAGGTAACTTGGGAATTCCTCTTTAGGATGCCATTTTGTCTACTTAGGGCGTGTCAAGTCAGAACTCTGTGCTTGTTTGGACTACTGGATTTTTTTTTTTTTGGGTGTGTGTGTGCGTGTGTGTGGGGGGAATTGGAGAGGCCTATTCCAATTCTTAGAGTTAAATGTGTTTCATCCCCATTTACCATGGGTAAAAACATAACAAAGGCAGTTCAAGTGAAGTCGCATAAAGCAACACATGTGGCTTGAGTCTTCTAGTGTTGAGGTTTATAGTTTTTCATATTGCATTTTCGATTTGGAACCATGGTAGGAGATACAAGAGAACTTATGAAAATTATTCTTTTAGAGTGGACCTTGGGAAAATGTGACTCTTTGTTGGAGGGGGAGCTTTGTGTGGGTGGATGAATTGGGGGGGGGGGGGGGGAGTTGCGACAGCCGCAACAAATGTAATGAGAGGTAATATCCTCCCAACTTTTAGGTTGGGTGGAAGGGACCCACTTGATACTAAAAGAGAACAACTGCCAATTTGCTGCGTTGCAACAATGAGAGAAAAATTAATTAGAATTACATTTAACTTATTTTCTAGCTTTTATTTCTTTTAAGATCATGAAATTTCGTCCATCTTCACCATCTTGATGTTGACTTCCTAGACATCCTATTGGTCTTTCTTAATGAAGCGGTACCAGCCACAATCATGCCAAAGTAAAACTCATTGGTACTCATTATTAGACAATGGATTAACTGAACCAAAAGAAATTAAAAAACGGTGCATAACATTACCTGCCAAGTTCTGATACTTTCTAAAATTGATTATTTTAAATGTTTTTGCTTTTAATGTAACAACATGAGCAGACAAACTGCACATTCTTTTCATTGCTAGCTATAATAAAGTAAAAATTGATTCTTAAAGAGCTAAAATTTAAAGTCCAAAGTGGAACAGTTGCCCATTACATTTAATCATTCATTGAAAATAAAAATAAAAAGAAAAAAGAAAAAGAAATGGAGTAATTTGGTTATTATTTACCTGTTGGATTGTTTATGGTACGAATGGAACTTGGGATTGGATCAATATACCTGTGATACTTCCCTTCTTGACATATGATCACTGCACCTTTTACATGGTTTTTATTTATAATATCTGTAATCTCAGCATATCTACCTTATCTTTTTGTGGGAATATGTAGATCTCAATGCATGCATTTGAGACAATTTTCTGGTCATATCAAAACTATTTTACTTTTAGTCCACTAGATCAATGTATTGAACCTATTACTAATTACTAGCATGCAGCCCATGCTAAGCAGGTGCTGACCACATTTCTTCCTGTGATGACACCCATGTTTTGTTGATGTCATGCTTACTGCATTTTTGCTATGTATAGTTTTACATATTCATAATTTTGATCAGTACTTTATTCATTGAATTATATAATATTGTTATTAGAGAGTCATTACTCCTGATTTTTTAATTGAATTAGAGAGAAATATCTAGATCAAATATATTGGTATGATTTTATTAAACTTATGTTATTTATGTAGTTATCGGTTTTTATTTTAATAGAAATAGAATAGAATTATATTCAATTACAACAAAAGTTTTAATAATTCTTTCAACCACTGTATCAATAGAGTTATCTACCCTATCTTAGCATATCTACCATATCTTTTTACGGGATTTTGTAGACCTCAATGCATGCATTTGAGAAATTTTGTGGGCATATCAAAACTACTTTTCTTTTAGTCCACTAGATCAATGTATTGGACCTATTACTAAATATAGTAAATATTTTGATGATGGTTCTTGCATTCTTGATGCATGTGCATTCATCTTTGTTATTTCATGAATGGACAAAACAATACACATGCAAATACATGTTTTCTCTTCACGTGGCTGACCTTTGTATCACTTGTCTACATATATTACGTATGACTTAAAATTAATCACTTCTTATATATGCTTAGCAGTTTATATAATGCCGAATGGAACTCCAAAACGTAGACCAATTAAATATTTAGACTTGCCCAGGAGTGATTCTTGCCCAAGGGCCTTAGGATTGAATTAGAATCCCTCTAACTGCGAAGGAGGATTTGTATCCACGTAATATTCTAAAAACTATATGGGTCACAACATATAGGGTGTGTTTGGCAAACCCTTATAACTGGGCCACGGCTAAACCTGGCCCAGTTTTGAACTTGCTTTTAATTGCCAACTCTACCTCAGTTTTTGCTTAGCCAAAAAACAAGCCTAAAACTAGTTCTTCTTTTATCCACCCCTCCCTTGAATAATAAAAGAACTGATTTACCTCAAAATTGGACCAGATCAATCCCAACGTAGTTTTGAGGAGTTTGCCAAACAAGCTCATAGATCCAGCAGAACTGACAAAATTACAAAAAATAGTGATTCTTGACCTTAGGCCTGTGTGAAAGAGTAGCTGATGGTGGAGAGTTCATCTAAAAGAGCTTTGAACAAAATTCCCTAGCATAACAGCTACTATAATTCTGAATTCAAAGTAGTTTAACAGAGGGACCTTCTCAGAGTGTGCAGATTTACATTTGTTCCAAATCCTCTCAAATCAATCATCAATGCATTCTGTAAAATGTAGGGTGCTCATGCTTTATCTTATCATCCAAGTTTTCTTGTGGTGATATGACGATCATTAAGGTCTAGAGAGATCTGGTACAGTAGATTACCAGGAAAGCTCATGGACTGGGTTTAACTTTTTGTCAGCATACATAATTATATAATGCTTATGCTTCTTACTGTAAGGAAATTTGTTTGTTATTTCCTCTTTAGGATGCCATTGTTTCAGTTAAGGTGCGTCAAGTCAGAAGTCTGCGCTTGTTTGAACATGTCCTACTTGAGACTAGGTTTTTGGGATGACTGTACAATTTAAATTGTTGAGCCTGATCAGATCAATGAAAGTAGATAACCTAGCCTTCCAATTTGCTTGACATGTTGCTTGGCTGGGGAGGCACATGCTAATGAGACCATTCCTTTATGGCCTAAAATTTCATCTAAATATTTCTGAATTCCAAATCTCTCCGAGTTCATTTATTTATTTGTTTGTTTAATCCAACTTTCATATTAGGTGAGGAAATCAAATACTTAGTTATATGTTCTCCTTCAGCATTTGCTATGGTAAATAACATTTAGGAATTAAATATCTCAAAGTAGCTAAATGGTGTAAAGCATAGTACAATGTGGCACATGTTTTATAGTATTGAGATTTATCATTTTGTGTCTACATTATATTTCCTCATATCACTGTTTTAAAAAACCTCCGCCTAGTCCGCTTAGACGTACGCCTAGGCCTAGGCGGTACCTAGGCCGCCTAACTAGCGCCTAGCACCTAGGCGGTAATCGGTATTTAGGCTACCCACCTAGATTTTATGAGCGTTTAGGAGAGCATTGTCTGCTTACGTGGATTGCACCCTGTAGGAATTGGTTATGATTTTATGTGTTGTAGCCTACACGTCCTCCAAACTCCATTAACCTCCAAATATGAACACCTCCACTACCTCCTCCGACCTTCAGCAAAACCTCATCGACCACCACTTTAATGAAGAAAGAAATATCTGAATGTGCTTATTTCAGTGAGTTCACTGAGATTGGGTGGAAGGACCCACCTTATACCCCCCACCCCCCCCAACAAAAAAAGGAGAAAAAGAAAAAGAAAAAGAAAAAAAACCAATGGCGTAACTGTTGGCATAAAAGGAATAAATAAATAAATAATTACATTTAGCTTATTTTCTGGACAGATTTTTTATTTCTTTTAAGATCATATGAAATATCACCCTTATTGTCTTGATGTGGACTTCAAGTTGGTATTTTTTAATGTACAGGTATCAGTCATAATCCAGTCAAAGTAATCATGCTTTAGGCAATCAATTAACGAGATAAAAGTAACATAAAAATGATGCATAACATTAACCACTGATCCGCTAAATTCTGTGCTTAGTTGTGTTACAAGTTGAAATCTTTGTCTACGTTATCCGGACAATAGATCTTCGCAACTAGGGGTGCTAAACCATATCCATATCCGACAAAATATCCGTAACTATATCCGGTGGGATGCGAATGTGGTTACTCAAATCTATAACCAATAGGATATGGTTACGGATATGGTTTTTCTTGAATGTAATTCCTTTCCTAGAGAGATGTGGTACTTACATTGTTCAATCACTTACTGTAGGAGAGAAGCTTCTATTATAGAATCTTTCTCCTGACTATAGAGTTGGATGCTTCCTCCTTGCAGTTAAGGTTTATTCCCACCCCAAATTGAATTGAAAAGTGGCTCGAGTTTGTAGTGAAATATCCGGATTCATATCCGAAATATCCATATTGGTCATACTATTACAATACTTTAATCCTTAGATTATGGATTTGAGATTAATTTTGATGATCCAGATGTCTAATCTTAGCTTTTTAGATATAACGAACATAATAATGAACTCTTTTGTATCACATGAGCTATAAAATTTTCAATATTATCTAGTTATCTTGTATCCATTTTTATCCGCTTATATATGCGCGTGTATATCTGTATCTGTATTTGGTTTTAGTGGATATGATATAAATTTTCCTTACCGTATCTTTATTTGTATCCGTATCCATGATGAGTAAGCGAATATGGATATGATAAGTGTCATATCCAAGTTGTATCCGAACCGAATGCACCCCTATTCGCAACCCTTGCTTTCGAACTAGATAACATCAATTTCAAAAACATTTGGTTCTACAAGATCAGGAAGGAGAGCAGTTAGGTTTTAATCAATGATTTTGATCATTAAATAAACTAGCTTTTGGTTACTCTCTCTCTCTCTGTATGTGTGTGCGTGTGTGTGTGTGTTTGTGTGTATAAAGATCATGACAACAAACCTTATGAACTTAAAACATAAATCATGTTCAAAAAAGTTATATGATGGTGTTTGAGATTTGACATCTAAACTTTCTGGGGTGATCTACTAGATTAGCCTCACCATCAAACCGACAAAATTCATAACAAATGAAAACAAGTCCAAATGCTTCAAACCGAAGGCAAAAAAGAAAAAGAAAAAGAAAAAGAAGGTTAATGTTTGAATCTTCACATTTTAGATGATGCATTGCCTGATTGACATAAGTTACACATGCAAGTGTGTCAATACGCATGCTGCAAGCCTAACATAACTATTAGAGTATTAGATTAGTATTGGTTTAGTCTCACATTTTTATTTATGTAATTGTATTCTCTTAACCTCATTGCAAATGAAGTCTGACTATGATACTATCCTCTCTGGCATCAAGTCATTTCTCCGAAATACAATATGGCATCAGAGCCAATTTGATTCTAATAACATGAGCAGAAATAGTGCACTCTCCCTGCACAGTAAGCTATGTAATAGTTAAGATCAGTCCTTAAAGTGTTAGAAGTTTAAAAAAAAGGTAAAAGTGGAAAGCTTACCGTAAAGTTCAATCTATACGAACAAAAATGAAGGAAAAAGAATGAAGTGTCAAGATCATCATTTACCATTTGGATCTTTCATGGTGCAATCTGAAACTGGGATGGAATCTTCATCCTGAACGAAGAAGGTACCCTCAAGTATGAGAGTACCACTACTTACAATTACTATCTTTCTCCTCCTATTCCAATAATTCGTTGGGCTAGTAGAAGCATGAAGGGATCTGCTATCTTTTCTTTAATTTATAGACCTTCATGTTAGAATATTAGGAAAGTTTTTTTTTGTTTGAGGTATATTAGGATAATTGTAAAATGAATATATATGTTTCCACAATTTTTTTCTCTCATAGGTCAATGTACCTAAAACTGTTACCGTGTGGACATATATGTACTGCTTTTTTACATGAATTTTTTTTCACGTTCTCGAAATCTTAGCATATCTACCAGATGTTTTTGTGTGAATAATATAGATTTTCATGTATGTATTTGAATTATATAAATATTATTCATGTACCCATAAAGCCTCAGTACAATTTTATGGGCATATAAAAACTATATTTCTTTTTGTACTCCGCAATTTCAATGTATTGACCCTCCTATCAGATGTAGCACTTATTTTCATGATCATTCTTGCGAGCTTGATGCATGTTCACTCATATTTCTATGTCATGTATGAAACCACTTTTCATTCCCATAAAACCATATATATGAGCACATGTTTGCTTTCTTACATGGTTGGCTCTTGTATTGGTTGTCTGCATGTCGTACATATGACTCGGACCTAATCGCTTCTCCAGTCAGCTTAACAGCACGTATGCAGACAGAAACTCCCAATTAGAGACCAGTTAATATCTTTCTTGCCCACAGCGAAGCATTGGATTCTTGCCCAAGGCTCCTAAGATTTGAAATATGCTGTGCTTAATTCAAAATGATGGCTTGCATCTACATAAGGTTCTAAAAACCTGTATGGATCACAAATTGTGAAGCCAGCATAAATGGAACAAGTCTTGATGTATCGGAGAAGAGCTGAACCTGTAGAGTTTACTTAAGTCAGTGGATTAAGCTTGTCCCATGCTGGAGAACACAATGGTGATTTTAATATTTACTCGTATAACCACTTATGCTTTATCCTACAATTATCTGAAAGACGGTGCTCTGAACCCACAGTGCGATATTTAAGAACAACTTTGCCATATTCTGATGTTTGCGGGGTAAACTTGATTTATAACTCTTTTCACTATATAACCCTCGTAAGAACACTGTCAAATGTCTGTCAGGCTGTCGAAAGTTGATGGGTATTTTATTGGGTAAACCAACCCATCTTTGTTATCTAAATGTCTTAATATAGAGCATCGGATACAGATATGGAGATTGATTTTATCCTTGCAGGCTTATGAAGGGTGCATTCAGTTTCTCCATGAGATGATATCTTAATACTGATTATTTCAGGTAAGTCTTGGGCACACCTTAATATCTTCTAGAAGGACCAATCAGGTTTTGGCAAAATCATCTAGACAGAAGATAAAGTTTGTTGATTCTCAGTCAAGGAGTTCTACTAGGGGTGCTCAGAGGCTCACGATCACTTCAGCCACAGATGATGATGAAACCACTCCTAAACCAACCGCTGCAGATCCTTTATCTACCGAAACTTCAGCTACCGCTACTCAACCTCCACCGCCTGCAACTCAACCCAAAGTCCAAAACACTGTGCTAAAGAAACCACCATTGACAGCAAGGGAGAAGCTAAGGGCAGCTCGAGTTCTCTCAAGATATACCGACTCAAAACCTGCAAAAAAGTCACTCGGAAGCAAAGTATTGGACGCAATGAGAGAGGGCGATGGAGGTAAGAGAAGATCAGGCCTCCCTCAAGCTCCTGAAAATTTATTGGATGATAGTAAGCGAGGAATGCCAAAGCCAGGGTTGACTTTCGACTTCCCTGGGGGCTCCGACTTGTTCTTCATCGTGTTGTCAGTGGTTTTGATCAGTACTGTTATGTTTACTACGACTTACGTTGTGTGGAAGCTTGGTGCAATTCATTTCAACGAGTATTGAAGCGATAAGGGTTGGGATAATATTTGTCGAATGATTTGGATGTATATTTTGTATGATTCAGTATTTTCTGTATAATGACTTTTTTTAGCTGTATATCTATCGAAAGTTCATCGACGTTTGTCCTTTCCATTCTTGTTTATGTTCATATTTAATGGCCTCAGAACACATTGGGATTTCCTCTTCTCTGCTTCATGGGCATCGAGTAATTACAGAATGGCCGTCACCATGAACTCACTTTGGGATTTCGCTTCACCTGTAAGCCCCCCATTTTCATTGCTTGCTACTTTATTACTCTTACTCTGATTTATCTCATAATAAATTTGTATGTTGTTGATCGAAAATTGATTGCATGATAGTTAGGCACCCATAAAATTCTTTACGGGATCCGTAGAGCATAGCACTCTTTGGCTTGTAGTGTTGATGCATTGCAACTCTAATTGCAAGTTTGGAACTAATCATTTTTCTACTTGAATTAGGATTAAAGATCACAACTTTGCAAGACGTTTGTTGTTGTTTTCCAGTATTTTATTAATAATATTTGCTATTACATGAATGTTAGGACTTGAGTTCTAACAAAACAATAAGAATTGGAATACTTTTAAAGTTAAAAAAAAAATTGAAATTGGACGGAGCCAAACATCTAAATTGCTAGTAAGCTAATAGCATATATTCAATTTATAACTCCATGATTCTCTACAGGGACAGATCTAGATTTTTTTTCCTTTCCCCTACTGGAGGCACTTAGACATTTATAAGTATGAATTAATAACTTAAATTAATATGATATCTACTGATAGAATTTTTTTTAATAATAGTATCACAAAGTTATCAACATATAATACTTTTCATTATCATTTTCATATCAATACATCTTTCATCACAAAAACTAATAAAATGTAACTAGATTTCAACAACAATCTTTCATAAATTCTCATATGGGGGCATTAAATAAATATTTAATGGAGGTACAAATAAATATTCAACAACTATCTATTTAAATTATTAAGTTATTTTCTATATCAGACTCTATAAACAATTTTATATACAGTAGCGGTTTTAGGATTTTGAGAAAATAGTTTCACTACATAGCACAATGAATTTTTGTATTTGAAGAAAATTTATCTAACTGTATCATTAGTAACACTATCGAATACATCTTTTTGAACTTCATCGCGTAAAAAACTCTTTTGACAGCTAAGAGCATCTTAAACAGTTTCCCCAAAAATTTCTCCAAAATGGAGAAGCAAATGTCATATTCTCCAAATTATTTTTGTTCCAACTCCAACAGCTTCCCCATTTTGAAGAATCCTGCATTTATTACAATAATAAAAATATTCCACATCCCTATTTTGGGATGCTCTTATGCATTGGAACTGCCTCATGGCTATTTTTGTAATTACGGATTTTGTTTTATATTTATTTTCTCCTCTATCCCGTTTTGAAGAACGTGCTGCATTTATTACAAAGCTCTCCCCAAATATTTGAAGAATGTCCCAGATTTGGGGAAGACTCCCTCTTTTTTTCTCCTCCATCTCTATTTTGGGGAATGAGATGGGGAATCTGTTAGACCAAACAAAAGCCTAAAATTCTTCAAAAGTGAGAATACTAATAAAATAAGGAAGCTGTTGGAGATGCTCTAAGCTTAGCCGCCTATAAAATCCTCACCATCTTTAAAACGAAATACACGAAATAGTTGTAAGTGGCGAGTTTTTAAGTGTGGCAGGGTTTTATTACTTCTCGAACAAAGTGGCCATGTGACCCTAATTTGATATAGGTGGATACTGGATCCGCCAATGTTTATATATTACTAAAGTCAATGTTAAATTATTTTAAAAACACACACACACGTCATCCATATATCGTGTTACCTAAGGGGCTGTTTGGTTGTATGTTTTTACCATGTAAAAGGATGTAAAGTGTAAAAAAAGTGGGTCCCAATGTCAGCTTTCATCACTTTTAATTGTTTGTTTGTAGTTGTGAAAATAGTGTAAAGTGATTTCATATGCTGATGTGGCTTGTAAAGTGATTTCATGAAAAAAAGACATGATTTTAGGAGAAAGCTAACATTGAAGTTAGGAAAAAATAATAAAAAATAATTCCAACCAATATGATCATTTGAGTAGGGACCATTTTTTACACTTTCCAAACAAACAATTAAAGTTTCATTTTGCAAATCAAACAAGTGTTTTATGATTCCAATGGAATCAAAAACAAACAAAGAAAAGTATAAAAGTGAAATTGATGAGGTGGACAACAATTTTCCAAGCTGTGTCATAAATACACAACTTTACCAACAACAACCAAACAGCCCCTAAATGAACTATTTAGGGGCTGTTTGGTTGTATGTTTTTACCATGTAAAAGGATGTAAAGTGTAAAAAAGTGGGTCTCAATGTCAGCTTTAATCACTTTCAATTGTTTGTTTGTAGTTGTGAAAATAGTGTAAAGTGATTTCATATGCTGATGTGGCTTGTAAAGTGATTTCATGAAAAAAAGACATGATTTTAGGAGAAAGCTAACATTGAAGTTAGGAAAAAATAATAAAAAATAATTCCAACCAATATGATCATTTGAGTAGGGACCACTTTTTACACTTTCCAAACAAACAATTAAAGTTTTATTTTACAAACCAAACAAGTGTTTTATGATTCCAATGGAATCAAAAACAAACAAAGAAAAGTATAAAAGTGAAATTGATGAGGTGGACAACAACTTTCCAAGTTGTGTCATAAATACACAACTTTACCAACAACAAACAACAACAATTTAGATGTTTCAAGGTCTGGGTTTGGGGTTGGGGATATGAAGAGGTCTCTTTTGAGATGAGGGGAGATGAGAAGGGGCTTGGTATTCCTGATGAGAATTTTAAGTGGCTCAGTCTCTTTTGTTTGTTTTTTTAATGATTTAATGAAATAGAATAGATACAAAGATCTGGTAAATGAAATAAATGAGCAATTAGAGTTGAAAAATGACTGTTAAGTAATGGGTAAAATATTAAAATAGAAGATGAGTTTTTTGATATTGGTGGAGCTCCTAACTAGGAGCTTGTTGGAGCTCCATAAAAGAAGGAGGGCCTCCCAAGGCTTATTTTTTTAATTTTTTATTCTAAAATGCTTGAGAGCTCTTGAGAGCTTGGTGACTAGGACTCCCAACTAGGAGCTTGATGTACTTGCTCTTATATCATCAGCTAAGCAGACTACATAATGCAGAATGAAACTACTAAATGTAGGTCGACAATGATTCAGCCTTGCCCAATAGCGAAGTATTATGATTCGAATTTGGATTCTCTCTAGTAAAAAAATTAGTGGAGATATTATTTTTGTTAGTCTAAGGTGTAGACCCAAAGTCGAGATAAGAGCTGGAATCAAAACGACGAGAAAACAAGCAGACAGATCCACGGTCGACCGTGACGGTCGACCGCGCGCGAGACCTGCACGGTCGACCGTCACGGTCGACCGCGACGTTGTCAAACAGTTTCCTAAACTGTTTTGGATTCTGTTTTCCCCAGGACTCTATATATACTTAAACGTTTTTAGGGTTGCAATAACACGAAAAAAGAGAGCTTTTTGACTGCAGAAAGAGAGAGAATCTCAGAGAGATTAAACCCTAGTTTGAGAGCTTGTAATTCTTCTTCAATTAATAAAGAGATTGTGTGGTGTGGCTCCCGAGGACGTAGGCACATTGCCGAACCTCGTTAAATCTGTGTGTTCGTCTCCTTTACTATTTTTGCACGGTTAGATCTTTATTTGTGGTATTATTCCTGTTATGCGCAGCGGAAATTTCGGCAACACCTCCGGTGCGTAAGGTGCACAACAAGAGATTAGATCACAACGAAATTCTCGTTTCTCAAAGGAAACAAGAACCAAAAGCCAGATATCTCATCAAAGTAAGATATCAGCTCTTCCTCTCATCAGTTCTAAGACTGAAATATCAAGGGAACCTACAAGCTATTACAAATCACGACAAGAACACAAATTTTACGTGGTTCGGCAAATTGCCTACACAAGCTATTACAAATCACGACAAGAACACAAATTTTACGTGGTTCGGCAAATTGCCTACGTCCACGGGGTAAGGAGGGGGGAGATCTACTATTAGAGGGAGAGAATACAACTAGGGTTTACAATCACTCAATCTAAACCCTCTCAAACGAACTTTCAAATCTCTCTTAATCTCTCTCTACAAAGGGACAGCCGACTCTGTTCTTTTGCACAAAAACAACCGCAGTCAAAACCTTCTCGCTCTTGCTTTTCTCCGTAGCCGCCAACGAAAACCTCCTGCTTTGCTTTTTCGCTGCCAGCAATTTTTCACCCTGCAGCCGCAATTAACTCCGTGCACAAAACCCTATGCACTTGTTAGAGAGGAATATATAGCAGCACAATGTAAGCGGGTGGGCCATCACGCATGCGGAAACGAAACGCGAAAACGAAACCGCGTTGCTGAACTTGAATCACCCACGTGGGTGGTCTCCACTCACAATTCCTACTTTTCTACTTTCAACACAAGGTCCGGAAGGGTAAGGGTTCAAGTGATTGTTTCGAATCCCCAACAATTTTTATACTAACTATTGTATTTTGTGAGTGATAGATTCATTCTAAATTTAGCACTTACATTACCTTCATGTATTGCACTCATACATAATTGACACTCAAAGACAAATCATAACCATCAATTAGACAATCAACGATTCTGATAATGTAATAGTCTCTCCACTACTTTTTTTTTCTTTATAATGCAGAGGATCCGAATCATTAGGATTCTAGCCCAAGGTCCTGACGCCGTAACTAGGCTCATTATACGGATCACAATCTATAGGTCCAGCATATCTGGCACAAATCTTGTCATCGTAATGTAGCACAAAAACAATAGTTCTTCTTGATCTTTAATCACTCTCAGCATTTTCCCTCATAATTTTCTATTCTGATCTACAGCAAGGTTGACTCATCTAATACTCTCTGGCCAAAATGTCTTCCTAAATAATGTTGTCAAACATCTATCAAGTTGTAGATAGACGATAACATTTCTATTGGGTATATTTGATCTATACATGTAATCTAAATGTCTTACTAAATTTCTCGGATGTAACTATGGAGATTGGTTTTATACTCATACGTGTATAAAGATTGCATTTGGCCAGTTGCTCCACGGGATGGCGTTTTAAAGTTG